GGAAATGCATCCTAGTCAGCACGAAGAAACGAATAACTTGGTTTGTCACTTCGACAGTGTGCTTTGCGCAGCCAACCAAGTTCAGTCTATTTTTGGAGAGGCAGGAGATGAGGTCCCTTACGCTGTTCGCCCTCAACTTATTGAAGGTGAAACAGTACGTGAATCCATCTTCCATTGTTTCAACTAGGTCCTTGAGTGCCTGGGACGGGTAAAGAAGGCCTCCCTTGTCCATGTACTTTGTCAGGCACGACTCTCCTGGGAGCGAGGGCGAATCCTTGGGCTGGAGAAGCAACCTCCAACACTCTTCGCACTTGGTTTTCTTCAGCATTTTGCGGGCGACATAGCCACTAACATCGTAGGTTATCCGAGAGTCGCTTTTTGATGCAACCATGTCACCGTGCTCTGACAGTGCACTACATGCTTTTATCATCTCATGAGCCTCGTTCAAGTAGCCCACATCCAAGAGATCGTCAAGCTTGTTTTGCAGTTCCGCCGGGTCAGAGTTGCTGCGAGGATCAAGAAGGCTGTTTAAGAGTCATTGAGAAATGTTGCCGCTTGTAGGTGACCGGGCTAAGCTGTAAAAGCTCAGGCAGTTCACTGAAATCAAGAACTGCGTCGGCGTGGGGTGGTCGTTGCAGCCTGACATCTGTCTCAAGATGCCAAACAGGTTCTCGATAGAGTCCTGACTGAAACGTGCGGTCATCAAATACTTGAATCCCAAGGTCTTTGTCACGTATGTCAGGAGCGAGAGTGTGCTTGCAAGAGTCACCCGAAAGCCTTCAGCTGTAGCTTGGCTCAAAAACCCCAGCTTTCCAACAGTGGCTTCCCAGATGTCAAGGTATTGTTGAAACCTCTTGATGTGCTTGACTTGTTCCGTCTCTGGTCTCAAACCAGTTCGGCGGTGCCTTGAAGTCATGGAAGCGATGAGGTCCCTCAGCATAGCGACAAACAGTGAAGTGGCCACTGGGCTCCCAGGTCCATAACGGCTCTCCACTTCATGTCTGTATACATAAAGGCCCCTCAGTACCTTGTCACTGAAGAATCTAAATGCGAGATTCACTCGCATCTTCTCGAATCCATTCGGCTGAAAAACAGCCATTGTTACGTGCGGCATTGCTTTGAGAGACACAGTACTTGCACTGTCACACTTCCATGCTTCTTTTACGAACTTGCTGCTCACTCGTCCATCTGGAGTCTGAAGCCCTGTTGAAGATATAGAGTTCCGCGCACATTTTACAAGGTGCGGGAAGTCTGAAATGAAGTGCAGATATCGGCTCGGGTCCACTGGATGTTGAACTTTACAGACTGTCTTCGTGAGCTTCCCGGTGATACCAAACATTTTCCACATACTCCTGTTCCAGGAGGCGCCATCGCATGTGATGAAATCAACAAAAAGTCCGGACTTCTCCGCAAAAATCACAGCATCCACAACGATTCTGGACAGCACGTCTGCCTTTACATTACCTCGTGCACCAAAGACGCCGAGGATCTGCTGCCATTTGCCTGTAAACGGCTGAAACAGAACCACAAGCCCGTGGTCGCAAGTGACACCTTCCTGACCCGCAGAGCTGTAGTTGCCGAGGTCAACAAATCCATCGATGAGTCCTTTCTTGTTGAACATCAGGCTTTCTGAAAGCTTCATTTCATCAACAAGAATCCCTCCGTGTCGTTGGTATGGATCGATGTCCTTTGACTTCTCGGCTATTGCTGCAAACCTTCTCATTGAAGCCAAAGCTGCTTCTGTAGGTTTTGACATATGTCCGTAGGCACGAAGGGCTTGGGACTACCATGAGCTTGTGTGTTCGAATATGCTCGTACAGTCGAGGGCTCTTCATGTGCATGACAATGCACTCAAGTATCCATTCTTGATCAAACTTCATACCGTTGGTCCCCTTTCTCGTTGAAGCTTCAAAGCATGCCCGTATTTGCAGCTGCTGCTTTTTGGACAGGCCTTCTATCTTCCGCTCCAAACTTGCGGTACTGGTGGACTCGTTCTCCGTCCTCATCTTTTCAATGTCTTTCTTCAGGTTTGCGATGTTGCGCTTCTGACGTCGAAGTTGCGCATTTTTTCTAATCACCTTTCGTGATGCCTCAACACGGGTCTGTTTTGCTCTTGTGCGCTTGTAAGAAGCCTGGTTCAAGAGCAACCTGCGTAGATATTTGCATTGCAGGCATCGCTTTTCAGTTTGCGAAACTCCGCCACATTTCACACTGTGAAACTTGCCAGCATATACCTTGTGCTTTGTTTTTGTTTGCATCATGTCAATGCCCGTCACCATCTCAAACCCTTCACAAGGAACAAGGGTATCCATCTCTGAAAGCAGGTCCTTCACAACATCAGCGCTGTCGACATCCACAGTTGTCACCACTGATCCCTGTACGTATGCGGTGCAGTGGATACTTGTCTCGCTAGTAGAGCACAAAAGCAGCTTCTGAAAGCAGAGAGTGTCACCATTTGGTGCACACACTGAAAACGCTACGACGGTCGGTGCTTTCGGGATCGCGTGCTTTGCCCAGTATTTGCTTGGAAGATCTTTTTTCATGCTCTCCAACTTTTCTTTGGTGCTGGGCTGCGTCACTGGTGTGATGTTGGCTACAACGATGCACTCGTCTTCACGAATGACGTTGTCCCTCTTTTGCTTTCGTGGCACGCCGCCGTTGGACGTCACTGACTTCCTCTTTGACGGCAGTTTCTTCGACAGGTACGCGGGGATGCTCGGAAACAAAGTTGGGATTGCATCGGCTGTCAGGCAAGGGCGACCACGGGGAATTTTCACCGTCTCGCCGTTAATGACGTGAGTGTAGTTGCGCACTATGAATCTCTCGTCAAAATGAGCTTCACGAACTACGGAGTTTTTCTCGAGAGGCTTGTCAGCTCGCGGAATTGAATGCTGCCAAGCCCGACGGCGTTCATCGTCACCGGGAACGGCGAAAAGGGAGGCTTTTTTCCCTTTCTTTTTGTCGGAAACGTACCCTGTGGTGCATCCGGGTGCAAAGCAGTGTGTTTGACGTTTTGCCATCGCTGTAGTCTGGAAGCATGGGCGATAATTCTGAAGCCCCCCAAACAAAACGAGCACTGGGAGTAAAGTGCGGAGCGAACAAACCAAACAAGCCTTCGCCCACAGTGCCTTCTCCGGCTCGCGCGGGCGCCTCAGTGTCGACGCGCGCGCCACCTCTCGTCGTCATGAAATACTAGCGAGCCTCCTTGCACGGCGCGGGCTAGGCGATTCTGACACCTCCCCCTTCTAGCCACCATAGCCTCATCCCACTAGCCTTTTCTAGTATGCGCCGTTTTTTTCCGCTGCTTGGTGGCGGGTATGTCGACGGGTCATTTCTCGTTTCCGTACTTTCTAAACTGCATTTGTTTCTTTTCTGATCTAAAATAGTGAACAAAGACTACTTTCATACATAATTGAAACGGTTCGCGACACTTATATTTTGTATCTCGACTAAAAAAAAAGCTCTTAGCGGCTTTGACCAGTGGCAAGCCCAGGACCAAAGACGTCACATTTTGCGCGCTTTCGGTACCGCGGGTCGCCCTCGTCGGTGGAGGAGGTTTCCGCGTTGTCCGGTTAAAATATGACGCACCGATATTTAGTTACTCTCTCCGTGCTTGCTGGCTTTCCCCAACCCCAAGAGACATGGAAACCGCAAAAAAGGTAGACGCTTAAACATGATTGCAGGGCCCCTTTAAAACGGAAGCTCGGGATTTCATTTACGAGCCTGGGGTGCTGTTCGGTGTGCACAGGACAACAGCAAGCCGCATCTTTTTTTTGTTTTAAAGAACCTGGTCAGTGCCACAAGCTCCTGGATGCCAAATCCGTCCTCTTCCTCGGTGCAGGCAACTATGCCGGAGTGCTTCAAAGCACACTACCCAAAGTGCCGCTACATAATTGACTGCACCGAGGTGAGGGCGGAGACTCCAGCGACTTGAGAACAACAGCGGGCGCTGTTCTCAAATTATAAGGGCTGTCACACACTGAAGTTTCTCATAGCCATTCTCCCCAACGGAACCGTTTCATTTGTCTCACAGGCGTATGGGGGCCGGAGCCCGGACACCTACATAACTATTGACTCGGGGTTCTTAGAGCGTATAGAACCAGGAGATGTAGTACTTGCAGATAAAGGGTTCCCGGGGATCAATGCACCAGTTGAGAGCAAGCATGGAGTCATGGTGTTTCCCCCCTTCTCAAAAAGCCAGTTGCAGTTTACGTCTGCTGAAATGGAGATGACATACCAAGTTGCCAAGGTGCGAATTCACGTTGAGAGAGCTATTCAGAAGATAAAGATTTTTAATTTTCTGAACAACAGAGTCCCCACTGAACTTATTTCTAGCATGACCGACATCGTGCGCATCTGCTGTGTACTGGTGAATCTTCAGCCACCAATCCTTACGAAATAATTCAACACAAGAGAACCTCATTACATTCTTAGGCAACCGGCACCTAGGATTTGTGACTTCAGGGTGAAAAAGGGTACTGACTTATTTTTCTTTGTGATGGTTTTGAATATGTATGTGGCTTCTATCGCATATCTTTGTGCTAATGGTGTAATGTCGAAGTCTGCTAGAAATTTCTTCTTCAGTGCAGTCCTCTTTAAATGCTAAAGTGGAGATGGTGGTGCATGTTGGGCTGTAGGGCTACTTCTGTGACTTGTTTCTTTTGCTTACATTTATGTTTCACATCCCTTTAATTATGTCCTTTGTTGTTCTTGTAATGTTGAGTACTATAATAAAACTGTGTACTTCGCAGGAGCGTTGATGAATGAGAGTAGATATACAGCCATTGAGAACATGTATTTATTAACAGCTGATTTTCAACCGCTATTTACATGAGGTTATAGGCCATATGGAAAAATAGGCATCACATAGTACATTTATACGAAGAGAATATTAACATCTTGGCCTGGAAACAAAGGTACTGAGAAAACAGCATGCCATCTGGCACTGTGGGTTAGTGAATAAATAAATAAATAAACCAAAGACATACCTCGACGACAGCATGGATGCTGCAACCTGTCCTGGCAACATACAATACAAGCAACATTTGCCACTAGGAAATAAGGTATGTAAGCGCAACTGAATGACTTAGGCGACCCGTGCGCCTTGACCGGGCCACAACACGTGGACGATAAATAGAATTGACAGAATTTACAATTGAGAAATACAATCAGTAATTTAACAAGTGAAAAACGATGCTGCTTAAAAGAGCTTATTGACCACCGTTTATTGACGAGCTTCTTTGCGCAGATATAATGAACCAATCCAGTGACCGAAGATATCTATTCTCCCAATACCACTAATAACGAAATGAATGCAGACTAGTCCCATTCAGATTTAAGATCCCCCCCCCCCCTCCCCACCCAACATAGCGGCTCTAAGCGACATGATGATGATACTCGACAGCAATTTCGCATATGGCTAGGGTTCCGCGTTTTCAGAGTTTATTTTTAAGCGAAATCGGAGGGTGTTTTTCCAAGTTCAATTTTCACTATAAAATCGAAGTTTTACAGAGCTTTGTTTTATGGTTCACAAAATTCTGAGTTCTTCGGCGAAGCGGATGGAAGATAGAAAACAGTAGTTTGCGAATTTAGTAAAGCAGCTTTTTTAATGCGAGACGTATTCGGCTATGGTCGTAGGGAGGCTATCTCATTTTTATGATAAAGTGCTAAACGGCATTCTTTTGTGACACCTACTTACAAATGGATGTTGACACTAAAAAAAAGGAAGGAGAAACGCGAAACTTGTTAGAAGATCCCGGGAAAATATAAAGGCCGGTCGGGTTCGTAACAGCTGGCAGTCCCAAACATTTTGAATTTTCCGGATCAATTTGAATCTGCAAAATATTTACTGGCAACCGTTTTTCGGATTTTATTGAATTTATCTGAAAACGCAAAACCCTAGATATGGCATACTGCAGCCTGCGCTACCCATGTGTCGTTCAATGCTGTTCCAGAATTGCTTCCAGCACGTAATGAAAGTAAAAATGTTCTAGTTTAGGTATATACTCGGCAAGGAATTCCTCGTCGCGAGGCACTGACAATAATGTCCTGCTTAGGAGAATACACAAACAAAAATGTCTCGACCACATCCAGGATGTACATCATCACCATGACCTGAGTGTAGTACCTGTGGCTTTTTTTCAGGATGAGGCGTCCGTCAACATACTTTACGTATGGAACGAAGCTCGACTCCGAGCGGTGGTCAATAAGCTCTGTATCCCGAAGCTTGTACGGGCACTTAATCTCCACCAACACGTAACCGTCGTCACAGCATACAATGCCATCTGGGCTGCAGGTCAGCCACGGTTGATCCGGATGAATCACGAGACCAACCTGTACATATTTTTCACGAGTTAGCTCTGTGATAAAACCATCCCAGGTCAACAAGCACTACCTGATGCACAGGTGCCCCAAGAGCACTTGCCAACACTGTCCTTGCTGTGTCTTCAATTGCCCTGCCTGGTTTTGTTCAGGGAATAAGTCATCATTAAGCTCAATGTTCGCAACATAATGTCAATGAAGCAACTAATCATTTTTAAAACCTGAGACCGATAAATGACATGCACAGCGCTCTAGTTCAGCTGTAATGTTTGTTTCCTGTTACAGGACAAGAAGCAGGATTTTGAAATGTGTTTAAAAGCCCAGACTATAGCAAAGAAGTTTCCGAGACAATTCCCTCGACTGGTTTTATTGTCTCGTTGCGCTTTCCCAACATGCATTATGCGTTATACTTCTTTGAGGCTTATGCCAAACGTATCAGATATATTGTGGAAGTATGAAAGTACTTCCACAGTGCAGGCAAAATATAGCCTGGGGGTGCTATTTTTCCCACCCGTGCTCTAGTCCTTACCATATGATGTGGCAGCTGAACTGAAGGTCCTGGGGCGGGTCAATGAGGTAGCAAGTTCGTGAAACTTTGTCCGCCTTGTCTTGATTCTGTGCGCTTTGGTGCTGGTTATACGAATTCTTCTCTCTTGCATCCACGTGTACTTGTAGACAAAAAAAAAATAAAGCAGTTAATCATATCGGCAACTCCACTGATATAAAAGTGGTTTCTAATTTATTCTTCGGTATACACCTGCTGGCAGCAGCCTGGCCCCTTGTAACAAGGGCAATCTCGACAATCTCGTCGAGATTTTTAGATATCATTCTGTCGTACAACGCCCTTGTCTCTCGGTCCAGGTTGGCGACTAGATCATGTTTCTGTAGACGTAGGGGTGTCAGGCTAGTGAGCTCCATTACGTGGTGCACTTTGTTCTTCCCACTTAGAAGGCCGACCAGCATCTCCTTGTCATTCATGTCCACAATGTCGGTCACCATCTGTGACAACAAAGCGGAGCAGTCCTTTTCAATTGGATCTCTGTTTTCTGCAGTCAGAATCTCTGCGAGGGGGCATTTTATCTCACTAAAGTAGCTTAGGAGCATTTATGCGGGTACAGGCTGCATCACAGGATCACCCAGCTGACTCTTATTCCCTGCAAAGAATAGCACCATGTTAATAATATGTAAATATAGGTATAGTGAGGGCAATGCCATATTCCAGAAATTTAATTCAATCAATCAATGGGGGAAGAACCGCATTTCCCCCTTAAGAAATGAACATTAAAGATGCAAATATTTTGTTGTTGTTCTTCGCATTTAATCACGCTTCTTGGTTCCTTATGTGCAAAGAGCTCGTCTACTCTTTTTTGCTGGTCGAGAACGGGCCGCGATGACGGCTTGCCCCAGGCACAAGGTCTGTCTGTGCATGCGGTGTGTATCTCGCTGTTGACAAAGACCGCTAGCGCGGCTCCGTGTTTGCACCAGCCGCGCACTCCGGCTTTGCACGTGCAGCTCGCGACCACGATAACTCTGGGCTGCGCTGAAAGCTGCCGGAGAAAAAATAGTATCTAATACCACGGCCGTCCTAGAGTTGAGAGGCTTGACAAACGCACCGCTTAAAATGATAAGACGAAAACAGTACGCCCGTGGCAGGCTTACCTGAAGACGAACGTCGTAGACAGCAGATTTCATCTGCGCCACGCATTTCCCCACTACTTCACTTGGAGACGAGACATGGATAACTTCTTTAACGCCAAAGACATGACGGCTCGCGTAAAGTTGTGTTCCCAACTTCAAAGACTTTTTCTTAAAGTATATTTCAATGGCATCGATCTTTTTGAAGCCGCAGAACAGCCCAACAGAATCACTCGCGCGCGTCGCCATTTCGGCACGGGAACGTATCATACATTCCCAATCTGACCGCGGGAGGCGCTGGTGGCGCGAGCGACAGTGGCGCCGTAGCGGCTGCACGGAGCGTATAGCTTTTCAATGGCGTCTCCGAGTTTTACTTCACGTACTCGGGCGTACAAAGAAAAACAGTAATTGCAAAAAGGTATATTTCATCCATGCACACGCAAAACAAGTAACAAGCTTTCTGACCAGCAACACTGTAGTAAAGATGAAAGCTCGGAGTACGAGCACTTATTGTTTTTTACAGCTTGTCGACTCGTACTCAAGCAAAGTCCCTGGGCATAGCAGCGTCGGGATTCCCAGCACTGGCTAGAGCAGATACCTCAAAACGCTAACAGGAAGGCTCGAGTAGAAAAATATAAGCATGTGTCCAGACAAACTTTACGTGTGGGTCGGGGCTTTTGCTATAGATTCTAGGTTTGATAATTTAGGCAGGTAAAAGACCAAAACAATGCGCTCGGGACCAAGAAACATGAGATAACGGCTGTTAATAATCCACGCTTTATGTATGATTTCTAGTCCACGAATCGATCGAAGCCGAAACCAGGCCCCTCTCCTCCCTGGCCAACTAGTTCCCAGAGTGCAATGCGCGCAGCGTTGCATGCAGGGATTTATGGAGGTAGTCAATTTCTCCTGGTTTCTTACTCGCACATTTAGCAGTCACACGGAAACGAACATTGTGGACGTGGTTGTCAATGGGGTCACAATTAATGGGTCACACAATGAGTGGACCCATTGTTGGGTTCACTCATGAAAGAACAGCCACTCATGATAACACTCACGATAACACATTGCCACTCATGATAACGCAGTGCCACCCATGATAACACAGCATACTTGCCCCGCTTTGAGCACCACAAATGCCAATTATGCGCAGCAGAGGCGGCAAGCTCTGTCTTTTTCAACATAATGGTCATCCGCCCATGAGGGCAGTTGACCCCCGGGTAGCAATCACCATTACCATGTGAAAAAAAAAATTAAGTTTTGTGTATGTTTATACAGCTTAGAACTTAGTCTGCCTCAACGCGCGACTTCTCTCCCAGCTGTAGATCAGCAATTTGGCCAGATTTCGGCAGCCTGGAAACCAAGGCAGCGTAGTCTGAATACCGGGGGGTGACTGCTTCCGTCCGCCATTTTGTGGCTCGGACTCATAGGAGAACTATGCGATTTCTCAGGAATAAACAAGACAAAAAAGTAACGCCATTTTGTGTTATAGGGAGTCCGCTGGTTCTAACGGGCAAGAAGCTCCGCCCATTGGCCAAACTCTCATTTTTAACGGCTCCGCAAGCGGCGAGCGCCGCGCGGCGCCAACTTTCACAGCTTATTTGTTGTTCCATGCTTGACCGCTTGTATAGTCTAGACACCCTCACTGTCCTTTGTTTATAGAAGAGATAGAAAAAAAAAAAAAAAAAAAGAAACTCATCACGACTTGGTGACTGAATCGGTTTCATTCGAATTGCTGCCGAAGGCAAAGTTCGTAAGCAGTCTTGTAAGATCAAGGGGGACGCATGTGAACACTTGAGATGCGAGGAACCAAATGCAATGAGCAGTGACAGCAATTAAGAACAAAGTGAGCACACCCTCCAAGCACATTAAGCTAGTAAGATACCAATAAGAATAATCAGTAAAGTACATCTAAACAGTACTTCAAGTAAAGTACTAAGTAAATGAGACGTGATGCACTCAAGTAAGGTAGTAAGTACAATGGGTGCAATGTACATGAAATGAAGTACTATATATAAAATGTACTTTCAAACTAAATTGCAAGTATTTTAGTACAATATTTCATGATGCCCTTTCATTTCCCTATACAGTGATTTTTTAATTGGTAAGCATTCCCAGGGAAAATCAGAGGTGCATGACCTATTTAAAAAACACCGGCGATTATTTGATAAAGTTAAGTGGCCACAGAGTAGTTATTTTCAGGAATGGAGCCAAATTCAAAGTTCCTTTTTAGAATTTGACGCCGCTTGTACTGAATTGTTGCACCCAAAATGGATAAATGTACTAGGAGAGAGCATGACGTCAACCCCGTAGCTTCCACAAGCAATCCTCTCACAGAGGAATGTTCTTTCCTTAAGGAAAAAAACAAAGAAACAACGAATGCGCAAGCGAGTTGGTGGCATTTAATCATGCTGGGACACCTGAGACTGGGGTGCAAAATAATGAAGGAACTTTTAAGTCGAGGGAAAAGACAAAGCAGCATGCCTCAAAACATTGTGACGTTCTCCTCTGTTGTCTTTTTTTTTCGGCTTAAAAGTTTAAATTTTCTACACCACAGTCTCAGGTGCTACATTATGAGTATGACTCAATTTGCTGTCCTTCTATTTTAAATCTCCTAGCTTGCGCTGACAGACCGGGAAGTAACGAGAGTTTGAAAAGGAACGGGAAAGCCGCCCTGGAAGAAAAAACGGAGCGATGGGTCGTCTGCTCACTTTTCTGGTGAGAGTAGAATATCCCTCCCAGTATTTCTTCGGAGTAGACGAAGCATCGTTTTCCAAGACTGAGAATAATACACAAGAGACACCAAGGATTTGGCCATTTCGAGATAACAGCGACGAACGGACGAGGAAATGAAATGCCTGTGTGCCTAGCAATAGCCTGTGCAACCCGACTTAGAGTTTGAACGCATCTCAAAACAACCTGTTCCTTTTTGCATTGCTAGTACGATAAAAAATACTACCAGTTAAAGGAATTAAGACTTGCACTATACAATATCCAAGACAACTATATGGCTGGAACCCATTAGGCGTCCCTATATTGATGCTAAATTTGTTTTGTATATTCATATAACCACAGGACCCTCAGATACACCTATTCAGGAAAACCGCCATATTCCTCTTTTCACAAAAAGTTGAATGTTGCTAAACATAAGACATATACCAGAGAAAACTATTTTTTTTTTCATTATTATTTCATATAACTGAATAAAACTTCCACAGCTTATAATGCTTTATCTCCTTTATGTAGATCTCGTGTTAGTTTTGATATGGCTTGTTCTTGTTTTCGACGCTCTGAACATGCAGAAAAAAAACACGTTCTTGCAGATGTGGAGCATGGCAA